TATACACAGTATGTTAGGTGTATCAATGTGCTTCAACTTTCAATGCGTATACACAGTATGTTAGGTGTATCAATGTGCTTCAACTTTCAATGCGTTCGTCAAGATATAGTGAAGGCCTGCTGCTCTAGGCTGTGGCTAAAATTCTGCAATTAAAATTACTGCTCACTGGCTTAGAGATCTGGCTACACAAAATTATTACATTTAACATTGGTCTTTTGTTTGTTTTGAAACAGGGTCTGACTATGCAGTTCAGGCTGGCTTTGCATTTGGCTTGGCCTTGGACTCACAGCAATCCTCCTGCCTCAACCTCCTGAGTGCTAGGACTATAGGTGTGTGCCACCACACCCAGCAATATTGGTCCTTCCAAAAGCCTAACAAAAAGAATATATATCCACACTTTCTGCTCTGCACACAAGAACTGAATTTATAGGTAAATCACAAAGTGTCCAAGTATCATGGAGGGATAGTTAAACAAAGTAGATCTTCATCTACTTTAAACCAAATCTACTCAGGATTTTAAAGTCTAATGATCAAAACTGAAAGCAAAATGAAGTCTGCATTTACACCACTCACCTACTCAATGAGTGTAAAATCAATGTTCTATTTTACAAACAAACTTTTATCTATTTGGAATAAACACATTTTACAAATATAAATGAAGTAAGATCTCTAACATAATTTACAAACCTGAGCAAAAATCTTGACCAACCGTGAATTATGTGAGGGTCGGATCTGCAAATACTCTCTCCACCACTGCTTCGCATACACAAGAAACAGCCTTTCTTTCTCCGCAGTCTTCTGACGTTCCAAAGCGAGCTGCAAATGTGAAAGGACATTTTTTGTCCCCTTGAGACCACAGCACCTTAACTACCAGCGCCCCATCGTCTGTGGGGGAGCGCCCCAGTGCCCACCTCGGCCAGCCTCATCCCTCGCACTCACTCGGGCCCACTCATCCCCGAGCGACCTGGCTTTCCCAGGACAGAAATCACGAGCAGGAAACCCCGTTGTCGCCCCTCATGCCAGGCTTGCTGGACCCAGCTCCTCATTCTCTCCCCGCCGAGTGTGGACTGTGGGGCACTCGGGTCTGAGTGTGTCCAGCTGCTCTGTGCCTGTCCAGACCTTCCCTACCCCAACCCCTCGGCCTCAGGCAGCCCTGATCGTGTTCCCCACGATGCTCTCTACCACCTGGTACTCTGCTTATTGACTCATGTTCACCATCTCCCCACCAGAATTATACTGCTTATTTATCTGCACTGCTGGGAACTGAGCCCAGCATTTTCTGCATCTCCAGCCTATTTCCCTTTCAATTTTTATTTTGAGAACGGGTCTTACTACATCACTAAACTGCTAGGCCATGCTCAACATGCAATCCTGCTACTCAGTCTAGAACTCAGGCTCTTGAGAGAAGCGGTCTGCATCAGGCACAGCTATAACCCCACTGTCTGGAACAGTGCGTCACATCTTTCAGCATCCGTTTAAAAGCGTGAGTAGTTCTGACTTAAAAATTTTAAGCCAGGTGTGATGGCACATGCCTATAAGGTCAGCACTCCGGGAGGCTGAGGCAAGTTTGACTCCCAGCTAAGCAACAGGGAGATCTTGTCTCAAAATTAACAAAGGTCAGGGTGGGGTCTGGGGATGTAGTTCAGTGCTAAGGTCTTGGCCAATTCCCAGCACTAGTAAAAGAAAAATTAATAATGGTGTAATTTTAAAGAAAAAGCCGAGGAACTAGAAACAATTCACACATTAGAAATAGGAGAATAAACCTATGTTCCAGTCATTAAAGAGTAGAAAAAAATCTGACAGCAGAAACAGGAGAAAATGTTTATGAAACAATGTCAAGTTTAACAATTAGAACCCCAGAGCTGGGGAGGCAGCTCAGTGCAGAGTAAGCACACGGCATGCACAAGGCTCTGGATTCCATTCCCAGCACAAAAAGCAGTTCTTTATTCATTAACATGCTAAAATAAAAAAATGTGACTAGCAAAAACGTAGAACCCAAATATTTACCATATATATCAGGTATTTATAATGTATTTAAAACTTCTACGTACACATCTACCTGTACGTGCTTATTTCGGCTGAGTAGTATCATGGATTGGCTTCCACTTGTGGCCTCAGGTGTACAGAGACCACCACGCATCTCAGATGCCAGAGATTAAAGGAAACGGGAGACCACAACAGGAAGAAGCTGCTTCAGGAAAAGAGCAGCACACTGTGTGCAAGAGACACAGGGGCTAGCAATCTAGAGCTAGGAGACAAGAGCCCAATGTGCGCAAGGGCTTAGGCCAAAGCTCAGGGTACAGCACTTGTCTAACACACACTCCAGAAAAATAATTTTTCTGAGCAGGGTCTCACTATGTAGTCCAGGCTGGCCTTGAACTCTCAGTGATCCTCCTGCCTCAGCCTTCCCAATGCTGGGATTATAGGCATGCACTACCATACCCAGCTGAAAAATAACCTTTGATAGGCTTAGCATTACTTTCTTTCTTTCTCATTCCTTTTGTTATCCTATGAATGCTAACCTAAAAATAACCAATGGTAACTATTTGAAAAGAATACTTTCTTGGATCAGTGAAGACCAATACACAAAGAAAAACTCAGAGTCACTTACCTGTGTGTTTACTACTTCTTGAGATAGTGTTTGACTGAGTGGTGGGTACATTTCAAATTTTATATTTAAAATTCCCACAGAAACTTTTGATTCTGTGCCTGTAAATATAAATAAATATTTAGAACTTCAAAGGTTTCAATACTATGTATATTTAACTTAAGTCTAACAAAAATAATTTAGAAACAGTTTTCTCATTTAAATGGAATAGATAATATTTGACATTACATTTAATTTTCTTATTAAAACAAATTCAATTAAATTTTTAGTTTTTACAAAGGCATCTAGTATAAGGCGATTATTAACTTCCTAGTCACATTTCAAGAAATTTTTCTGATCTGATTCAGGTTTAATTTTTATCTTCAGTAAATATAACACCAACCAGATTTACACTAAATACAAAACCAAAGCAATAATGTTTCATTTTGTGTTCATTAAAAAAAAGTAAGAAAGCATCTGTACTCCTTGTCATGTACTGCAGTCCTTACTTACCCTTTCTTATTAACGCGTTACGTGTGAGTGTGAATTTTCAGTCGATGCCTGGACTTAAGAGAATTAGAAAGCACGCTGCACACAAGAACTTTTTAATATTTCCTCACTAAATTTGTATAGTATATGTTTATTTCCTGGTCATTAATGATTATCATGTTAGGCCTAGGTTTGACAAGATCGGGCGCATTCAGGGTGGTATGGCCATAGACTAGGCCTAGTTTTGAAAACTGGGAATCTGTGTTTTTGAAAGAGGGCCTCACTGTGTAGTTCAGGCTGGCCTTGAACCCACTAGGTAGCCCCAGCTGGCCTCAAACTCACAGTGATCCTCCTGCCTCAGCCTCCTAAATGCTGGGATTACAGGTGTGTGCCACTACACTTGGCCAGGAATCTGTTTTGAAACTAAACCTCCTGCATAAAGAAGAATTTCTGCTCTACTTTCTAGTTAAGGAAAAACATATTCTGGGTAATATTCCTAAGGCTATGCAACTTACTGGTTATGTTCAAGTAATAAATTTCAAAACGAATGTAGTTCTATTAAAAAATAACTTTAAAAATAGCAAACCCGTTCTATTCTACACCATGCATAAATCACTGGTTGTCTTCTCTTTTCATCCTGTCAGCAAAGGCACACTGCACAGCAGGGAGTGTGCAAGATTTCAAGCAGCGGTGGCATTAGGATGGCGCCACCTGGCTCCTGGGGGCTGCTGAGCACTGGTGCTGCGCAGTCTCCTGTGAGGGCCAGACCCGCTCCACAGCGCGCAGGCCTGCTGGGCTGACGGAGGTGCACTGGGTCCTAGAGTGTGAGCAGGAGTAAGCTTTCGAACACACGTATTTGTGTGTATCAAAAACCTTCTTTTTCTTTATAGCCTTACACTTATTTAAAAAAATGAAAGATTGAAAATCTTCAAATTTTCTATATTCATTTTCCAGAAAATAATTTTCCTTAAGACGAGGCACTGACTGAAGTACTGCACTGGTATTATTCTTCAGGGTCTTCCTCTAGGCTATAATCAGAACGCTAATGAAACCCTGTTTCCCCTTTGCGGGTGTACCAAGCCAGTGTGAAGACAGCACACACACAGAGTCTGCCTACACGAAGGTAACAGTGACAGCAGGCATCATACCTACACCCATAAGTTCCACCGTCAGGCTGGTCACACCGTTTTCTGAGCCCAAAACCGATCGCCATTCCAGAAAATACGATGCTACTAAAGTGGTCTCACCAAAAATATCAGTTTTGATGAGCACCATATGAATTGGATCACTTATTGATAACATTGTTGTTGAATCGGCCATTCTAGTTCCATCACCTAGCAACAAAAACCAAAAAAATAAATAAACCAAACCATAATACATACTCTGTTAGGTCAAAGCAAAACAATACTTCTACTGAAAAATATGTGAAAAAATAAGTTTATATAAAACCAAGGAGCATAATTTGTTAGTGTAACAGAAAGCATGCCAGTCTAGGAACAGAGGTACTTCCTGTTTTTATCACTAATTCTGAAATGACTGGCAGAACCCTAACAGATTATCTAGTTACTTCCAACATCAGAGCTTTCCGAGCCATAGCGAAAAAGTCCATTCTTTGGAAGTAATCACCTAAAGCACATGCTATTATAGTAAAAAAAAAAAAAAAAAAAAAATCGAACATGTCAACATTCACGCTCAAACTACTTCAAGATCCAGAAATAATCACTGGACTATCTACACAAAACTCAACGATCCAGCACTCTGGGTATAGCAACTTCTCATGTTAACTATCTTATTAACTTTTTTTCAGTACTGGGGATTGAACCTTGGGCCTTGCTCATGCTTGGCAGGCACTCAACCACTGAGCTACACCTCCAGCCCTTTTTAAATTTTGAGATAGGTTCTCCCTCAGTTGCCCAGTCTGGCCACCAACTTGCAATTCCTCTTGCCTCAGTCTCTCTGGTAGCTGGGGTTATAGTCATGCACCACTACACCCAACTAGCAAAAAATTTAATAGGGAAAACCATAAGAAGCTTTATAAGTGAATTACGCCACCTTAAAATCTAAAATTATGAAGGTTTAATTCTGCAACTTTGCTGAGTTTATAAAGCTCTCTATCAACAATTAAAATGTATAGAATGCCTTATACACACCTGAGACTTTTTATTTAAACTGAAACTTTTCAGAGTTACACAACATCACAAATCTAACACAAATGACAAAGGTCCTGTCCCATTCTATACTACATCACTACCAACTGCTTAGCATGGTAACATGCACATGATAGGCATTTCAGTATCTCCCAAAAAGACACAACTTCAGGGGAAAATAATTAGCAGACAGTGCATAAGGCAAGAAAGTGGGTAAAAATCATTTAAGTCAAAAATATCAGTGTTGGGGAGGGACAAAGCCTAGAGAGATTAATCCATTAGAGATCTCTTAGAGCAAAAGTTGCAGTCGTTCCACCACAGAGCCTAAAAAAGAGCTACTCAATTAAACGACCATCTTGGTCCTTACCTAAGTTTTCTCTGTGTACTTCAAGTAAAAAGCCATCATGAAAATCTGGTTCACAGGCACATGGAACAGGTTTAGAACGAAAACGCTGGTTCCGATAATGTAAACACAAAGTAAAAGTTGAACAAACTTGTCCTGGTAAAGGCTCAGGTTCTTGAAGATGTTCCAAGAAAGCTTTTCCACCCAAAACCTGAAGGTAAAGATACCTCCGTGTTGGATCAATATTAGCTGTAAAGTGTAGCAATATATATGAGGAAACTGCCAAACAACTTCACAAAGGTGATCAAGACATTAGGAAATAATAATTTGACATAAATAAAAACAAAGACTGAAAAAAAAAAAGAAAATAACAAATTTACTACATAGCAGGATCTTTTGCACACTGGAAAGAAAAGATACACAATATGATATTCCAAGTGTAATACTGGCTATTTCTCATAGCCAGAAAGGAGTGAGAATACCAAGGTCTAATGCATGTTTCCTTTTTAGCTGCTTATAAAACATTCTTTCACTTCAAAAAGTGAAGTCAGACAATTACCAACTTAATAAGTGTATCTGTTAGATAATTATGTTACTATTAAAAAAAGCAAAGCTGTACAGTTTTCAGAATATATTAAAACAAGAGACCAGGGTTCCTGCTTTTTTTTTTTTTGGTCTTTTTGACACAGGGTCTCGCTATGCAGTTCAGGCTGGCCTTGAGCTCACTTTGTAGCCCAGGCTGGTCCTCCTGCCTCAGCCTTCTGAGTGCTGGGATTACAGGTGTGCACCACTACACCCGGCTGTTCCTGCTTTTTGTGTCAACTGTGCTATGAATTTTTCTTACATACTTCATGCAAATACAATCTAAGTTTTATGCTAATCACACACAAAAAGTATGGACTTCATTTTGGAAAACAAAAATTAAAATGTTTTCTATCAAATACCAAAACAGTAACTCATCAATAGCCATTAGTAACCACAAATAAATTAATGTTAAAAAATACATACATACTTTTTTTTAATGTTGATTGTTTATCAAAGCCAACAGGCTGTTTTGGAGAGGCAGAGAGTTCTTGCTCAACACTGTCCTAGAAAGGCAGTAACAAAAAAAATTAGGAACAAAAATTACAGTTAGGTTTAAAAAAAGAGAAAACTTCCACTGGAACTAAGCACTGTAAGGCCCTTTCCAAATACCCCTAATCTCCCCAACATAAGATAATGAAAATAAATGCCTCTGTAGAAGGTGGTACAGCTGGTCACTCCAAAAGTCTAACACTAAGAACTAAACTGTCTTCAAGCCTTGTACCCACGGAACACTCAAAGCAAATACTTAATGCTTTAAAGAAGATTAAACTTTCTCTAAATCTTATGTAATACTTGAACTAAGACTCTACCATGAACTGATTTTAATAAAGTGACATTCACACAGCCGAGACTGTTAGTAGGTCAATTTCCATAATAAAATAGGTTCATAAGCCTCAGAAACCAAGAGAACCCTGTATGCAAATATTTAATTCCCTAGTGTACTGAAGTGCACCCTATTTTTGCCTGACATTCAGGTATTGAGGTCACAGCTTTCATTATTGCCTCATTTCAAAGGAGGACCTACTTACTGTGCTCTGAGAAGTTATCAGCCCACCACTGACCTAGCTGTGTAAGATCTGAGGGCTCTTAAGCTGCCTGCTATTTTCTTAAAGAATTTAGTAAGTATAATTTAGAAAAAAAAAAGTGTAAGGTAAAAAAGAAATTGTAGGACAATCTTAGTGAAACAGCGTTTTGTTAAACAATCAACTAATTTGGCTAAAGTAGATATATTTAAAATTGCAGTCCTAGCTGGGTGTGCTAACCCCAGCACTCAGGAGGCTGAGGTAGGATCATGGTTGAGTTTGAGGCCAGCCTGGACAACACAGTGAGTTCAAGGGCAGCCTGAACTACACAGCAAGACTCTGTCTCAAAGACAGAAAATAAGCAGATAAATAAAACTGCAATCCTACAGTACAAGAAGAGAAAATTCTGTCACTGCAGAGACAGAAATACGTTATATAACAAATTTCAATGATACACAATACTAATTTCCATACTCAGGACGAAGTTAACCTAAAACAAAGACGTTACTAAATAGAATGACCTTTTTCATACTAAGAGAGTAACACCAAATATAGACCCTATAAACAGGGCTTGCACGAGCGAATACTTACACTGACTTTCCCCTAAAAGATTACTCACAGTAACAAAATTAAGTTCTTTCATCACATCGTCAATGATTCCTCGACGTCTAAGCGCTTTGATCAAATCCTCCGCCGACAGGTGCTGCTGGTCTGGCGCCAGTTCCTCCCGTATGGTCTCCGCCAGGATTTCCCTTATTCTGCCGTGGACATCCATCTGGAACGGAAGTCTCGTTTACCATGCTCACCGCGGCAGCAGTCAGGACTGCCCAAGTTGCGGACTTCCACCCAGAACGGCGTGGTCCCCGCCACTGAGGACAGAGGGCGACTTTTAAAAGATGAAAACGTCTGGGTAAAAACTCCAGAAATACTCTCTACTGGCTGCGTACCACCGCCGCTGCCCTCCGCTCGCAACGCTCGGCCACAGCGAGTCTCCCGGGCGCGGGGCAGCAGGCTCGGGGCGCAGCCGCGGAGCGCGAGGCCGGAGCAGGCAGCTGCGGACAAAGCCCGGCGACGGGCGCTCGGGGGACACGGTCGCTGGGGCCCGACTCGACGCTTCCCACGGGACCCCCGGCCCCCGGTTCCCGCCCTCGGCCCCGGCGCCCACCTTGCTCAGCTGCTGCTGGATGAGCTGCTTCAGCTCGGAGGCTTTCTCCGGAGGCAGCGACATGCCAGCGGCCGCCCTCGGCGCCAGGCGCCCCGGCCCCGCCGCAGCGCCGCTCTCACACTGCGCGAAGCTCCCGGGGGCCGACGCCGCGTCAGCCCGGCGGGGCGGGAACGGGCCGCGACGGCGCCAACTGTTTTCAAACGAGCGGACGCCGAGGCCCCAGGCTGCCCCTGCACCGCCTGCCCCTGCACCGCCTGACCGCCCGCTGCGCGCCCGAGCCCCGCACCACTTCCTCCCGCCCGCGCACCGGCGGGCTCTGGTCAGCCCTAGAGAGGCGCCGAGGGAGTGGAAGGACCCCGCGCCGCGCGGCATTGTGGGCCGCGCCCGGGCGCTCGCGCTGTGCGTCCGCGGACTCAGTTCCGGATTCCGGGGTCCTCCCCGAGGCCCTGGTCCTCCTCACGCCAGGGCCACGCTCCCTCCCCTGCCGCGACCATGTTCGTGCCCTGCGGGGAGTCGGGCCCCGACCTCTCCGGCTGCACCCTGCTGCTGGTGAGTCGCCCGAGCCTGCGCGCGCCGGACGTCTCGCGGGGCCGCGGGGCCATCGGGAAGGCAGGAGGGGAGCGGTCGGGCCGGCGGCGGCCCACGCTGTAAATACGCGTCTGCAAATCGCGTGTTTGATACGGGCGCCGCGTAGGATGTTGGGCGGGACACCCCTACGCGCTGTCCTTGGAAATCCGTTTTCGGATGGTGTGAGTCAGCCCTAAGCTAGCACGCCGTCGTCGTTACACAGTCTAAAAGTAGCTTCTGTGTCCGGCACACGCAGCGCTGTTGCAGTTACCCTGTTCCGTCATTGACTGCGTGCGAATGCGAGAAGAGTAAGTGCTTGTCCGGAAACACTTTGCAGTCCTGTTGGAGACGCGTGTGAGCAGGCAGAGCAGTAAACACCAAGCGAGACGTTAGAGCGGGTGCAGGCGGGCCCTGGGGTGGTTGGGAGCTGGACGATGTCTGAAGCAGAGGCACGAGAGGCGGCACCCGGAGACTGCAGCTTGCAGTGACGCATGGGGACGGAAGGGGCCGACGGTACCAGCCCAGAATGCGCCGTGGAGTGCTGTAAGGCCGGGGAGAGACGGAACTGTGATTTTATTCACTGTAGGGCAAAGAGGAGAGTGTCCGTTTGGATTTAGTGAGACGTCGGTTAGTAGTTGTCGCCTGGACCAAGTTACCGGTGCGATCATGGAGAAAGAAGCCATATCGGAGTGAACTGAGCAAGTGAGGAGGTAGAAAGGGAGAGAGAATTCATTCAGAAGTAATGTTCCTGTTTCTACTTAGTGGACAGCTGTTAGAGTTTTGGCTCTGTGAGAGAGTGAGACCTGAGGTGGCAAGAGAGTCAAGGGAAGATTTCTTTTCTTTTTCTTTTTTTTCTTTTTTTTTCGAGAAAGGGTCTCACTATGAAGTTCAGGTGGGCTTTGAACTCACTATGGCCGGAAACTCACAGTGATACTCCTGCCTCAGCCTCCTGAGTGCCGAGATTGTAGATGTGCACCACCGTGCCTAGCAAGGGAAGATTTTTTAGACTGAAAGATGTTCGTGTGCCGATGGGAATAAGCTAATAGAAGAAGAGAGGTGATACAGATGAGTCTAACCAAAGCAGCATCTGTGAGGAGGGAGTTCCCACAGGTGACCAGGGGTTGGGTAGGTGACAGCAGTGAGAAATGAGCATGCTCTGGGAACACTTGAAGGCCAGAATATGGCGATGCTGGAAGAATGCAGAGGAGCTCATTACAGAGATACCTTGGAGGTAAGTCAGTAAAAATTAGTCATAGTTAGATATAGTTGGTAAAAGAAAAGGGATAAATTAAGGTAGTAATTGAATAAGTAATATTGCCTTTTCGTGAACTATAAGAAAACAAGTTTGGAAAGAATTTAGTTTTGTACCTGTTGAGTATGAGTTGCTTATAACCTAACCATGTGGTTATGTCCAGTGGGCTCTGGAGCTCAGGGAATGGTGGGATATAGGTAGATATTTGGCATTTTGGCTGTTTGAAGTCATGAGAGAGAGAGAGAGAGAGAGAGAGAGAGAGAAGAGAGAGAGAGAGAGTGAGTGTGTGTGTGTATGTGTGTGTGTGTATTTAATGTGAAAAGAAAGCCACTCCAACCTCTGAGGACACTTCACAAAGCAAAGAGAAGGACCAGGAATGCTTTTGCTGATACCTCACAGAAAGCCTTTGTATTGGCTTTTCCACTTCCTGGAGTACTCAGAGTTCTCTCTGACTCTCTTTACCTCCTTCAGTACTGCAGTTATGACTTGAAGCAAACTTTCCTGGATCACCCTGTTTATAAGGAACCACACACACACACACACACACACACACACACACACACACGTATGCTCGCAGTCACTGTATTTCTCCTCATAGCACTCGCACTGTATAGTTTACTGTTAATTTTATTTCAGGTAAACTATTCCCTCATTAGGTTGGAAACTCCACCAGGGCAGACGTTTTTGTCAGTTTGTTTTACTGCATGAAAGTATCGCTATCTAGCTGTGCACCTGAATGTACGCATTTAGTACTCTTGCTGTAATTATTGTCTAATGTCTGAACTTTTTGATTATTGTCATCCCTGTGAACTTGTTAAAGTGTCACTAATTTGCTACCTCATTGAATGTACTTTTTCTATATTTCAGCCAGCGGTATCTGTTGGAAATGTTGGCCAGCTTGCAATAGATCTGATTATTTCTACACTGAACATGTCTAAGATCGGTTACTTCTATACTGATTGTCTGGTGCCAATGGTTGGAAATAACCCATATGCAACAGCAGAAGAAAATTCAACAGAACTCAGTATAAATACTGAAGGTATGCTTTTAGCAAGTTTTGTCCCACTACAAAGTAGAGTTCTTTTAAATTAGAAATAGTCTCTAAGCCAAGCACAGTGATGCACACCTACAGTTCCATCAGAAAGATGAAGGGTGAAGCAGAAGGATCACTTGAACTACAGTAGGAGTTCAAGGCCTACGTGAGTAATGTAGGAGACCCTGTTCTCAAAACAAAGAAAAACCCATGAGTGCTATTTTGTGGCAGGCATTTACTTAGTACCCGCTCTGCGTAGAGCTCACAACCCATTGCACTGTCCTTTTTACATCCATGAGTCAGTTCTTACGGTCCTCCAGTGGTGGCTCCTAGAGGTTTGTACTTGTATCTGTGGATAAAACTCAAATTAAAATATTTTCAACATGCATCCACCATTTTTTTCTTTTATTCTCTATTTCATTTTCTGTTCTTACTGGCATGTATAACCATCACTGATACTACAGATAAAAGAAAATTCCACTGGGCTCAGGTCCTATGTGTTTAATATGTGCTACTTCACCTAAGCCACCTAGATTTGCTGGCATGTTGTAGAATCCATACCAATACAATAAAGGTGGGCCTCAGAGATTAAGTTGTCTGGTGCCATGAGTAGGTGTAAGCTTTTCTTGTACTGTAAAATGCCACGATTCCTCCTTGGACTGTCAGGCGTGGTGAGTCAGTGCACAGGTTATGTTGCATTGGCCTCTGCCTGGCCATGGTATGGAGTGGTCCCAAGTGAGTGGAGGAAAAGCTCCTCCTGACGGGAAGCACAGGCACATCCTGTAACTTCCTTCAGGGGCTCGCTGCCATGTTGGCCTTGGCCTTTCCGTCATCTGTTTACCACTTAAGAACAAATGCAGAGCTGATTAAAGAGCATGGAATGCCATTGGTGGATGAAAGACAAATGAAGTATTGTAGTTTTGTCAGTTTTATTAGCCATGCCGTTATTCTTAGCTTGTATAATGAATGTTTTTTGAGAAATAACCTTATTACTGAAATAAAGGTGGCTTTGTTAACATAAGACTAGTCTTGAGCCAGGTGTGGTGTCACACCCTTGTAATCCCAACACTTGCAAGGTGGAGGCAGGAGCATCATTGCGCATTCAAGGCCAGCCTGGGCTACAAAGTGAGCTCAAGGCCAGCCTGAACTGCATAGCGAGACCCTGTCTCAAAAAGATTAAAAAAAAAAAAGACTGAGCCCTGGGTTCAGTCCCTAGTAGCATGCGCCCACACACACACAGAGATCCACTGGCTTTCCTTTCATAAACTGGTGGCAGATCCAATGTCTGGGTGCAGTTTAATCCACTTCATTTCCCTAGACTAGGGTGACTTGTAATCTGTTTATAGTAACCAAAGCTTACCCCTCAGCACAGTGGCCTGTCTGGTCCTGTGTCCTTTTAGAATGTCTGCAAGAGCTTCTCATTCATAAAGGTGAAGTTGGGCAGGGGAGCCTTACGCAGCTCTAAGTATGCCCCTGGTGGGATCTGGTGGAAGTGTGAACTTTTTTCCTGAAAAACTGCATGCATCTTGACTCACAGAAACTTGTACACTATTTCAGAAACTCCTAGGACACAAATGTACCTAGTCCAGGGATTTTCTTACATGGCTCACGTTCTCCTACACTTTAGTCTGTTCTGTTAATTCCAGTGAGTGTTGCTGGTCTCAGAAGTGAAGAGGGAAGAATACGAAAAACTGAGTTTAGCTTCCTTAAGGATGATTTTATTTCTCATAACACCGTTTCCAAGAGAATACTTTTGGTTTTATAATAAGGTCAGAGGAAAAATTTTTTAAAACTTCAGAGATGTACCTTGCTGTGGTGCCCAGGCTGGCCCTGAGCTGCAGGGCCAGCGATTCTCTTGCTGGCCTCTGCATATCATCACTATTAGCAAAAAATAATTTGGGGTATTTTCTTACAGTTAGCTTTTTTTTTTTTTTGTCTTTTTGAGACAGTTTCAGTATGCAGTTTAGGCTGGCCTTCAGCTCACTTTGTAGCCCAGGTTGGCCTCGAACTCACAGTGATCCTCCTGCCTCAGCCTCCTGAGTGCTGGGATTACAGGCATGCACCACCACACTGGCCAGTTAGCTTTTCAAAACTGAATATATTCTGTAGAACAAATCCCACTGGCATGTTTTAAATTACTTCTCAAGTGTTTTATCTTAAGCAGTTGGTATTGTGCTTATGTTCTGTATTTTAATAAAATTCTTAGATACAAAAGACATTATAATTTATATTTTTATCATGAAAATTTAGCTTGAAAAGTCATTTTAACTGTCCTATGGCTTCATTTTCTTTTTGTCTTTGTAGTATATTCATTGCCTTCAAGAAAGTTAGTGGCTCTTCAGTTAAGATCTATTTTTATTAAGGTTAGTGTGTTATATTTACCTTTTTCAGCTTCTTAAAGTATAATATCAAGAGAAAAGCTAAGTACCATTAGATTTGAAGGTCATTTGTGCTGTGCTGTATGTACAATTAAGAAAGCTGTGGGGGCTGGGGATTTAGCTCGGTGGCAAAAGCGCCTGCCTGGCAAGCGCAAGGTCGTGAGTTCGGTTCCCGGTACCGGAGAAAAACCAAAAAAAAAAAAAAAAAAAGAAAGCTGTGATTCTTTAGAAAAAAAATCTCATTTCAGATGTTACCATGATTTCATGGTTATTTTAAAAAAATTGGGACTTACAACTCAAGTCTAATACATTCTTGATTCAAACAGTATTGGTAAAAAAAGAACTAGGCATGCAAGTATCATAGATTTGTTGCATTCGTATTACTTTCAGCTGGGGGACCTACATACGTTATGTACCCACGTATTGATTCTGAATCCAGGCTTGTTCCTCTCCCCCCACACCACACTCATAGGGCCCCCAGTTCAAAGCCCGTTGTGCTCAGGCTCCTCTCCCCTCTCCTGCCCCACCCTTCAGTGACTCTGAGCTACATGCAGTCACATCACTGCTGTCTCCAAAAGCCTGCACAGCTCCCGGCTCCTTGGGTCCACAGCCCTGCGCTCGGGCTGTGAGGCTCACATGTGTACTGCTAGCCCCCTGTCATTACCGCCTGGCTGACTTGGGGGTACCAGGGATTAAAGCCAAGGACTTGGGTGTGCTCACCAGGTTGCTGTACCACTGAGCTGTGTCCCTGACCCTTTCTATTTGTATTTATTTATTTTGAGGACTTGCTGAGTTGTCCAGGCTGGGCTGGAACATGGGACCCTGCTGCCTTGGCCTTCAGTGGCTGGTGTCACAAGTGTGTGCCAGCACACCCTCTCTGTCTATATATACTTTTTAATCTTTTAAGTTTTTTGGTAGTGCTAGGGTTGGAACCCAGAGCCTGGAGCATGTGAGGTAAGAGCTCTCCCACTAAGCTATGCCCTGTTTTTTTTTTTTTTTTTTGGTTTTTTTTTTTCCGGTACCGGGAATCGAACTCATGACCTTGTGCTTGCCAGGCAGGCGCTGTGCCGCTGAGCTAAATCCCCAGCCCCAGCTATGCCTTCTTCTAGCTATTTAAGTTTTAATGCATTAATTTAAAATAAAAATGCAGGGATGGGGTTTTAGCTCAGCGGCACAGCACTTGCCTGGCAAGCATAAGGTCTTGAGTTCGATTCCTGGTACTGAAAAAAAAAAATAGAATAAAATAAAAATGCAGTATCATTTGATCGTTTTCTAGCTTGTGGCTGTCATAAATGGTGCTGCCGTAATTACTTTTCATGTTTATTCAGAACCACTTCTTTAGTTAACAGTGTCATATACCCACATTTTGCACTGAGACTTGCTAACAGTTTTACATTGTGCCACATGGTTTTATGCTTCTCTGCTGATGAGTGTAAAACTTAAGACAGGCAAGACACATACTTCCAAATTAGATTTTGGTAGATGAAATAAAGAATGATTTTAAAAATTGCAAAGATGTATTGAGCTTTGATTCTTCTCATTGCTGTTAATCTAAGCACTTCATGTGTACTATTCTACTTGCTCCCTGCAGCAAACCCGTGAGTCAGGTACTAACATTATTCTCACTTTTCAGGTAAGGAAACTGGATCCCTGAAACCCAGAAAGGCCAGGAAATTTGCTGAGGACGTGTGGTAGGGTCTGTAGGCAGTGGGGCCTCTTAATCTTCGGAGTGTGCTGCTCTCTTATTTTTAAAAGGTTGCCATTTTTACCTGTACTTTAAATTTTAATAAATATTATTTTTTAACTGCCAGGAAAAACTTTTATGTGGGTTCCCCCCAAGTTTTATATACATCCCAGATTTACCAGCAGTTAACATCTCATCACACATGCTTGATCTCTTTCTGTGTGTGCAGTTTCCTTCTGTCAGGTAGTCCAACAATAGGCTCCTGATTTGACATTTCATCCCTCAGTACTTCAGCCTCAACTTGCAAGAACAAGGCCCGGGCGTAGCTCCGTGTGGAGCACTTGCCCGGCACGTGTGAGGCCCTGGGCGCCATGCCCAGCACTGCCAAAAGAAAATGAAAAGTACAGTCAGGGACATTTTCCTTCATATCCACAGCATCATCGCCGCCCCACAGAGAATCAGCATTTACTGACTCACTCGGCAATTTCATCCCGTGTATTGGACATCCAGATTGTGCACATAGTGCCCTTCGGTACTGGACCAGGCAAGGTCTGCTTGTTGCACCTGACTGGTGCGTCTTTGTAGTTGGTGTCCTGTGGTGCGTTACTGGATCTGGTCCTCTTTCTGCTCCTCATGGTCCTGATGCCTTTGAAGAGGGGAGGTCAGATGTTCAGCATTCTGCACTCATCTCCCTCATGATCAGATTCCAATACTAATTTCTGATGAGCACGTCACAGACGATCATGAAGTTTTCCCCCTACACTGGGGATTGAACTTGGAGCCTTAGGCTGACAGGCAAGCACTCTAGGAGTGAGCCAGGTCTGGTCCCTGCCCTTTTTAATTTTTATTTTGACACGGTCTCACTAAGCTGTTAAGACTGGCCTTAAATTGGGCTTCTCCTGCCTCAGACTCCCAAGTAGGTGGGATCACAAGCATGGCACTGCACCCAGCTCATGGTGGTGATTAACCATTAAATTGGGGCTGGGGGTGTAGCTCAGTGGTAGTCACTCTTGGGGGCCTGGATTCAATCCCCAGAACTGCACATGAAATTAAGTAATAACAGATTACTTAGAAAAATGATTGTTCTTAGAGGTTTTTGACATCTAGATTCCTCACGGTTAATTTATTTCATAATTTTAATTCAGCTCTACAATGTTCCACACTAAAGCTGTACTAAGTAATTGTTCTTCACCTTTCACTTTCAAAACAGTAAGTGGATCTGACAGTACAGGACTAATAAATTTAGTGTCTGTATATTGCATATCATTATCACAAAGTTTATAAAGTATTATGTAGACCATTACAAGATCTCACTTTTACATGTTCTTTTTTTTCTCAATGGCATACAAAGTATAAATCCAGCTCATTCTGTGAGAAACTCCTTTCCTGGGTGAAAAGTAGCAGCTTTGCCAGAGTTATTGTTCTTTCGAGCAGTCACTCATACCAACGAAACGACCTACAGCTTCGCAGGTGCGTATTTGCCCTAGTTAGGGTTTATGTTGATGGATAACTCACTGTTGATAAGTTAAATTTTTAAAAAGTCACAGGTGTCCTTACCTCTCCAATTGGAAAGAATAAGGTTAAAAAAAGAGAAACAAGAGGGACACAGATACTTTGAATTCCTGTGATGTTAGTACAGCTAGGCAAAAAGAAGACTTGGGGTTCTTTGGAAAATGGGTTTGGGAACCATGCTGTTAGGGTTTGCTGTCATGTGTGGACCAGTGTCACAGAGCTCAGCTGGTTCAGAGAAAGGAGAAAGAAAGCCGACCCAAGATTTATGGACTGCCAGGTGTGGTGGCGCACACCTGTAATCCCAGCACTTGGGAGGCTGAGGCAGGAGGATAGCTGCGAGTTCAAGGCCAGCCTGGGCTACGAAGTGAGCTCAAGGCCAGCCTGAACTGCATATGAGGCCCTGTCTCAAAGAGACAAAAAAAAAAAGATTTATGGACTGATGACTTTGTGGCTGTGCACATGTGCGTAGCTGGGGTGAGAGCTGCGCCTGCTGGGCAAGTGCTGTACCGCTGAGCGCACACCTGCCCATCAGTTGGTAACTTTGGAGAGGTTCAGTTGGTGCTGAGTATTCCCAGATACGCAGTTACTTGTATCTGTGGGAGTCCGTTGCCTTCAAGTAATCACCATAGTGTGTCATGGTGAGTTCTCAGATACAAAACAAAGTATCTCCAAAATAGAAACACAAACTTGTATTTTATTATCACATGAAATTGATAAAATACTATATGGGATACAGTTACACTCTCTTGTAGTTCATTTAGACCAGTACTTAGCCACCTACCAAATCAGGGTGGAAATACTAGTCAGCTCCTAGTTTTTGCAGATAGCTGACTGGGAGACATCTTGCTGTGGACCTTACAGCGTCGTGGCGGAGGGGCAGGGTGTGGGGCACAGATGGATCTTCACATCATCGGCCCTGTCCTGCTTTACGTCTCCCACCCCTGCTTTCTCCTGAGCATGCGCACAGCTGGCCAGTGTGATGTGTACTGCGTTTGCTCTTCCAAGTCTTCTCAGACTTGTAGTTTTTTGCCTTATGCAGCAGATTACATGGAGACGAAGTTGAGTTTGAAACCTGATGATTGCCTTAGTGAAAGGCAATATTCATTACAAATACTTACGTTTGTAAATTTTTTGGAAATATAACTATATGATTGTTTCTAGCACTCCGTTTCGGTACCTGCTTACACCTTGTATGCAAGACAGTGCTCAGAATGAAATACAGAGCCTTAACTGGCAAGAAATGGAAAAAACCCCATGCATACCAGAAATGAGTGATTCTGATTACTGTGTCCGGATTCCAGGCGGAGGGATCACGAGAACACTCTACCAAGAGAGGTGAGTGTGCCTCTGTGTTTTCTACCTTAATTGTAAAATAGCCTTAGCAGGCCATGGCAGCACATACCTGTAATCCCAGCACTCTGGAAGACTGAAACAGGAGAATCACAAGTTCAGGACCAGCCTGGGTAACTTAGCAGCTTAGACCCTATCAAAATTTTACACTGCTGGGCATGGTGGCACACGCCTATAATCCCAGCACTCGGGAGGCTGAAGCAGGAGGATCGCTGAGAGTTCAAGGCCACGCTGAGCTACATAGTGAAACCCTATCTCAAAAAAAAGAATTATAAAAAGGGGGCTGCAGATACAGCTTAGTGCAAAGGCCGTGGATTCAACCCTCAGTACCACAAAAGTACATACATTTTTGAAAATTAAATTGTGGGCGAAGTGTCTCCTGTCTGTAGTCGTAGCACTCAGGAGGTTGAGCCAGGAGGGTCACTTGAGTTCAGGAGTTTGAGACCAGCCTGGGGAACACAGGGTTAGGTGCCACAACTTCCACAACTTTGTCGTCATCATCATAAGTAGAAATTCGAACCCATTAAATAATTACACTTCATTTCTATAAAATTCCTAGTAATTAATGTTCCCACTTTTATTTCTGATTTTACTAATTTGAGTTTTTCTCTTTTGTTCTTAGTCAACCTAACTACATAAAGATTTATCAGTTTTTTGTGGGTTTTTTTATTTGTTTTTTGTTTCTTTCCTGTTCCGGGAATCGAACTCACGACCTCGCACTTGCCTGGCCGGTGCTGTGCCACTGAGCTGAATGTCCAGCCCCAAGATTTATCAGTTTTGTTGCTTGCTTTCAAAGAACTTTCAATATCACCAGTTCTTCTTTAATATTTTCTGTTCTCTATCTTACTTACCTCCACTCTTTACTTAGATTATTTTCTTCTTTCTGCAGCTTTGAGTATACTTTGCTCTTTTCTCTGAGGTGTAATAGGTTGTAAACTGGAGCCCCTAGAGTGACACAGACCCAGGGCCCCTGGCCGTGTGCAGCGCCGCCATAGCACGGCCGGGGTTCTCGCACTTCGGGACTCCCAGGGCTCCATGCCGCGACGAAGCCCTGAGATACTTGTGAACGAGATGTCGGCTGGTTTGAGGGCTGCCAGTGGCTGCGGCTTTCTGACTCTTAGGGACTGAGATGTGAAGGTGCCTGGCTCCCGCTCAGTCTCCTGTAGGTGTAAAACGCCTGCCTGGACCCAGCCCACCTTCTTTGTGAAGCCATCGGGCGCGTACGCTCACGTTTGACTGAAATTTCTCGTGGCTCTTGGTTGTAGGGTGTTAGGAATAACTGTTGCTTTGTTGGCAAACAAGAAGCTTCCTGTGTCGGTTTATCACCGCCTCACATTGTCTCGAGGTGGACATTGATGGTAAGGAGACGGTGTGGCGCTCAGGGGACCTGGGCTCAGGTCCACCCCGCTACTTGGCAGACAGCCCTGAGCAAGCTCACCTTTCTTCAGTCTCTGGACACCTGTTCCTCATGTCATGGCTGACACTTCCAGGGTATCAGCTGGGTTGATCACGGTTTAAGTGATACAAGAATTTGTCACTTTGCCTTGCTGCCTCCCTTCAGCCTGTAGAGTAGCTCTCTACCCCTCTTTCATAGACCCAGAACCCCAGAGCCCTGATGAAGTCACTTGCACAGGCCCTCCTTCACGTGGGAGAGCTGGAGTTTGAACCCTGGCATTCTGTCCATGTTTTATTATTCCAAGTGGATTTCTTCATACAATGGAAAGCATCATAGTTCACTTAAGGATTATCGTAAGGACTAAATTGTCAAATTTGCAGACAGTACTTAGCACGTGGTATCTGTAAGAAGAAAGTTTTCTTCTCTCTTAACTATTCCATTCTCTTCCAGATTTCGTTTACTGCTCTTTTCTTTTTTGAGACAGGGTGTCCCTTGAACCCCCGCAGTCCTGCCTCAAGCTCCCGAGTGCTGGGATTACAGGCATGCGCCACTGTGCCTGGTTTGCTTTGCTGCTGTAGATGATTCATAACCGGGGATGTACTTCCTTTCAGTCACTTCACCATGACAGTTACTGTCTTCTAATCTCGGCTTTGGGAGTGGGTCAGAACCAGATCTAGTTTTGCTAGTTTTCACATAGCCTGAGGCAAGACACAGGCCTACTTGCTCCAGTGTTCTGACTCCCCGCCTGCCTGAGAAGTGTGGATGTCCCACGGTGGGGAGAGGTGAGTGAGCTCTTCTGCCCAGAAGCCAGCAGGCCCCTCCCTGCCGCGCACTGGGCTTGGCATGTTCCAGCGGTGGAGGAAGCTGGTTTGTCCTCTTGTGTATTGCAGCTGCTCTAAAGAAATCCCAATGGCCGTGCTGCTGAAGTTTGTTTCTGAAGGTGACAACATCCCGGACGCGCTGGGGCTCGTTGAGTACCTTAA